CAATTCAAAGTTTAATGTAAAAAAAGAGAAAATAGGTATGGCAGTATTTAGGGATGGAAGAGCAGGGAGTATTGTACAATGATGTTCAAAATGTAGTCGTGATGAACACAAGTGCTTTTTATCTTCGAGAATCCTTAATCTGTGTAGCAAATTTACATGCTGTATGTTTTCTCCGGTGTGGGATTATAATTTACAGTGAGATGCAACATTCACTGTCTATTTGCAGTATATACAGTATATATTTATTTATTTACATGTTTTTGGGTGTTTCATTCATGAAAGTGATGTCAAAGCTTATAACCCTCAGAATTATTACAGTATTTAGTTTACAGTTTGTACAAAAAAAAATAATGTGCCCTTTCTTGTAAAATAAATGTATGTATTTTTTTTTCCATCCCTGCTTGTTTATTTGAGGGGTGGGGGGGTCTGGATGCGACTGGCGCTGTACCTCTGACACTGAGTGGGTATTGGAAGATCATGTCACTGCAGGGGATCAATGGGTGATTGATCATGCACGGTGACGCAAAAAATTTTTCCAGCTCCCTGAGCATGGTGTCCTCGCTGTGTTCCTGCCTTCGCCCTGCATTTACATAACCTGACAGGCACTTGACAGCTGACATGTCCTCTTCCCCCACTCCCTCCCCTGCCTCGTTTGTTAGCTTAAACACGGGCACAAATTCACACTGAAATATACACAGTAACATTTTAAAGACGATAAAAGGAAAAAGTACCTTTTGTTGTATTTTCTTTGAGGACTAAGATGTTTAAGGGCTGAAGACATGTCATCAGCCTGAACAACTTCAGACTTGTAATGTGTAATGTATGTTATGTGTCTGAATTGGATTTAGCCCACAGCTTTACAAGTTCCCTGCCATTTTATTTTGTTAGAAACTGCAATAATGATCAATAATCTTTATTCCGCTCACTTGGTCGGAGCTTCTTTCATCAGGTTTTAACCTGAAGGTAAAACAAAAAAAAAAATCTAATTCAGTAGGACACCTCAAAAAGACACCTTCCAGCAAAACCATGTGTTCATTATAGGTTATACTTCAAAGTGCTGCTTTACATATCCCTGTTGAACCAAGCACAGAAAGAATCAACCCAGAGCAGATATGATCAAATTAGCTTAATCCCATTTCACACATATGCACATTTGCTCTATATCAGAGCTTTTTAAAGTGGGAGGAGGCAGGTCTCCCCTGCAGCGGGTGCAAACACTTTCATGGGAGGCTAAGTAAATGGAAGTAAAACTGTATGTTATAGTAATTACTACATTAGTTCGTCAAAATATGATCACCTTAGAAAGCCTAAATGTGTGTGATTTGGTTAAAGAGATGGCTCAGAGATAAATATTATTTTAACTGATTATTACTTTTTTCATTTTCCCAGGCAGAAACCATACATGTCTCAGAATAGACCTATTTCATGTGTTTTGTGAAGTCTGAAATGATGAAAAACAATAATATTAGGATATCTTTGGGCAATCATTAAACAGGATTAGAAAATTTAATCATGCTCATATAGGCATCATGAAACTTAACGAAAGAACGTCTGCTTTGAAATTCCAGAAATCTCTGTCTGGCATAATTTAAGGACATCATCTAACCCTATCAGCTTCACACTTGGCACTAGTATTATTAAGGGCCCAAGAAAGTGTGATGTCAAATTTAGTGCGATTTGGACACAAGATAAATAAACTTTAATAAACAGGCAACTGGCGCTGTGTAGCAGCGTTGGCTGGGACTCCTTAATGTTATTGACTTTGTAAATCACGACAACATCGTGCTCACAGGCACTTTCATGACAGCAGTGTCAACAACTGATTCTGGTTCTGCATACTGAGTCCAGCCTCACCGAACTTTGAGCAGCAACAGTGTTTCTGTGGACCGAGCCCCGCTGCGGGTCTTTACTTGCTGCGGCTCAATTACTGCAGGTCACGTTAACAGTTTCAGAAAGAAAGCTGCAGCCAGCATCACCACAGGTCGAGCAAACAGCCCATTTCAAACAGGCAGGTTTAGAACTAAGTGAGATATAATTTATAGAAAATGGGGGGTTATTTCAAGATTAGTATCACCAACAGGAAAAGGAAAAGTCAGGATAAATCATACTGAGGTAAAACATTGAGCCCCTGGATGACTCTGTCACTCTGTGACTGCCAATGCAGCTTTAACTAACATCTGTTTGATTTCCGCTGCCTCTCTCTCACACACGCACACACGCCGAATCATTTCAAACAACTCAATTAGTGCTGTTAGTTTGTTGAAATGGGAAAAAATAATCTCCTCCTCCTGCTGTCTGTCTCTTTTACAACATTAAATAAATACGAGATGTAGATCTACATTATTTGTGGAGTGTTTTTTACGCATTGATCATTTTGTTTCCCACACCGATGTATGAATTACACTCACACGCCAGTTCGGAGCACTTTCTCTTTGTCGCTATGCAAAGTAAATTCCGATGGTAATGACAGCTGGAAGTACAGAAGGCATCTGATTTGTTTACACGAAAAAAATGGCAGCCAAAACTGAGAGTGTGATTTACACAGCCTCTCAAGCTGTGTCACACCTTCCACATGTTTCGTGAACTCTGGTGAACTAGATTCAATGGTGGGTGTATTTTATACTTTACATGTCTTGGTGAGGTGGAACTTTTATCACGGCCCTGTTAATCACAGTGGTGAAGACATGTTTAAATACAGTATGAAAGGATGACCCTGACAAGGTTTGAAAACATCCATCCATTATCTACACCACTTATCCTCGGAGGTTCATATAGAGGGTTTACTGCTGGAGTCAATCTCTGCTGACATTGGGAGAGAGGCAGGTTAGGTGGTGTATCACAGGGCCAACGCACAGAGATACATAACCATTCAGGCTCCCATTTACACCTCAGGTCAATGTAGAGTCTAACCCGAGTCTGCATGACTGTGGGTGGGAGCCTTGGAAAAAACATGCAAACTCTGGAAAGGTTTCAAATAGTCAACCTTAATTGAAGACAGATATTTAAAGAAAAGAGTTATTATACTGTGTCAAGGCTTTAACACAAACCTTCACATTAACCGATTAGCAACAAACTGTCTAAGACAAGACACTATTTTTAATAAAGTGGATGGCAAGCATATTTTCCATCAGGTTTAATGGGTTTTATTTGGCATAAGCTCTAGTGGAGATGTCAAAAAAGAAATAAATTCAGCAAAGCCTGAGATCTAAATGTAGGTTTGTAATCATTTTAATTGGTGCAGCATATGGTGACATGGCTGACAATCCCGTGAGTGCCCAGCATGAAGCTACGCGACGGAGAACTGCAGCTTCATGCATCTAAATTATGGGAAAGAACGCAGTGATACGATCTGTGAAAACAACAAAGACTAGCACTTGTGACACACTGGCACATTCCACATCAGCCCTGCGTATTGATAGTTAACCTCTCCTGATCCAGCCTGAAAGTGAGAGAGAGAGTGTGGGGGGGTCACAGTGGAAATACATTCAAGGTTAATGATAGACTGCAGGCAGCAAAATGCAACACCAAGTTGTTCCTGTTTGTGTGGGTGTGGGTGTGTGTGTGTGTGTGTGTGTGAGTGTGTGTGTGTGTGTGTGTGTGTGTGTGGGTGTGTGGGTGTGTGTGTGTGTGTGTGTGTGTGTGTGTGTGTGTGTGTGTGTGTGTGTGGAGTGTGTGTGTGTGTGTGCTTGCATGCATGCATGGGCTGTAATGTGCTTATGTAACCACACCAGCTCTCATTCAGCTCATTTGCTCAGTCCTAAGTTAACAGGAGCGGCAGGCAGCCTCGTCTCTGAAAACTGGAGCCCTGCACAGTCGCTGTTGAATTTGTATTAAAACCTTTATTGTTTTGAGGGATTTCCTACACAAATCCCAGCAGATAAGAAAGATTTGAATATCTGATAGCATGTTTGCATTACATAAATTCATTATCACTACCATCAAGTGAATAATTAACTATTACTTAATAAATGATGTAAGTGATTATTTAAGTTTGATTGTATGTAGAACTTAAGTTATAAGTTGTTGCTGCTTTTTATTTTTAATATAATATGATTTGAGACTTTTATACGTTGACATAATTCAAGTTTTAGTTGATAACACATTAAACTGGAATGACACTTAACCGAGCACATAAATCCACCGAGGCCCAAACTTCCCCTATCAAACCAAATTAAAATCCACTAGATCTGGATCTTAAATTTCATGGAAATGTTCTCAGTAGTTTTTACGTTATCTGACTGACAACAAACCAACTAACCAGCAAACAAACAAACAGACATAACATAACCTCTTGATCATAAGGTTTAATGTGATTCTGACATGACAAACTGTTTGGCATAGTTGAGTTGTTTTGTCTTTTCGGTGGCGTCTGATTCGCAGTATTTGTAAAACTGGCAAATTCTCTCACTAAACTTGTTTTGCCAACATAGCAAACTGTCTAGTTAACCAAACAAGTTCTCAGGTCTGTCTGCAAAGAGCCCGCAGAAAAATGTCTGTAGACTCGTTCCAACTTTTACAGACACCAACTTTAAAAACAAAAAGTGTCTGTGCCATCGCATTTATAGACGAAATTACATTTTATGACTTCCCTCTGAGCCAAAACAAAACCTGTCCTCTCATCTCCTCCTCTCTTGTCTCCTCTTTCTCCTCTCTCCTTCCAAACACACCCTTGACTTCCTTCCCTTTACTCTTGATCCTTCTCCTCCAAGTCTCCTCCTATCTTTTCTTCTTCTTCTCCTTCCCCCAAGCAGTGGAGTGACTCACGCTCCCTCTGGTGTGAAGTGCTTCATCTCATCACGGAATGAATCAACTCAGGCATTTTCATTACGGCAAGAAGGCTGTTTCACTCTGGCAGTAAAATAGTCAACCATTAGGAAGTCTATGTCTTGTAGAGAAAGTTAATAAAAATAACCCTTTCTAATTAAAAGGCCATTAATGTTATTAAGGTTGACTGAATAATACATGTTGTCATAATTAAAGGTAATTTCTGGTTGAGTGGCCCTCCTGCTGCATTTTGGATGAGCTCCAGCACATGATGATTACTGATGGAGTCCTACAACATGAAGAACTTAAAGCAGGTAAATCAGTCTGCATTTGCCCAAAGGAGAAATTTTAAAAAAGCTTTACTTAATGGCAACTGCCCAGAAGCTTTTACTTTATTATCATAGTCGTACAACTTAGAAATCTGTTTCGAGTGACAAGGACAAAACTAAAATGTTCCAGGTCCTGGGAGTCTCAGGGCGGAGGGAAGCATTCTCCATCTGTAAACTCAGGTTTCAAGGAGTAAAGTTTTACTCTCTTGTTATGATACTATGTTTTATTCATGAGCACACTCTGCTGTGCCTCTCGTCTGCTATGTCTCGGCTGTATCTGCGCTCTGAGCCTGGTTTGCATGGAAAACCCCAGGTTCCTCTTCCATTTCTCATCATCGTCCTGTCGTAATGCTAATGCATGGTCTCTCAAGTCACATCAGCTCGCCGCTTTCCCTTAGTCCATACTTAGCTTTGCTCTAGCCGAGTATTGTTTTGCATCGTCACTGAAAAACAATATTTGACCTCAGACGTTGCAATGTGTGTCAGAGTGAGGGTGCATTTTTTCCCCTCCCATTTCACAAAAGCTTCGTTGCACAAAGTTGCATTCATAGTTTTTAGTGTAACATTTCACTTGCAAAACATTTACACATCACTGATAAACCCAGTGTGTTACAGGTATAAAAGCCGCAGCTTGCAAAAAGAAATCAAGGTAATTTCACAAACAAATTAAAAAGACATTTGAAATAATAAATTAGGTAACTAATTAAATCACCTAAAATCTTAATTTTATTTAAAAGTAGACTCTGGAAAGCAGAGAGTAGGCTACACATTGAATAAACATAATTCACAGACATGATTGCTTTTTTCAATGGTTCTGTCTCTGCACAGTCATTCTGCTGATATCAGTTTCAATTATGTATCTCTCTGCCGTCAGCACAAACTGGTGGCTCCAGCTGTGCATTTGAAGAATAAAAAGAGACAGTGAGTCAACACATCAACCTTCAGCAACTCAAAGAATAAGGGAAAATTTAGTTGACTTTGAAAAAAGAACAGCGAACAGCAAGAGATATTTGTGTACTGAAGTTACACAACTTCGCCTGAACCTGATGGAAACTCAGAGTATTGACATATCCAGGCTTGGTTTAGCTCCTTGTTATACAAAGAGTAAAACACATGGGTCCTTGTCTGTAAAAAGCGGTTGCTTGTAGAAATCTACCCACTCGACCCTATCGAGTATTTGATGTGAGTTTCAACTCATATTTCACTTTTCTCAGACAGAATTTGAGTTTGGCTCTTGTAAGCCATTTTCAGACATGAACTGTGGAAAATGTTTACACAATTGTGCTGGGACATTTACCGGAGTTTGCCTTTAAGGAGATTGTCTGGGTCACATGTGTTCACAACAACAGGAAAATGTCCAGAACATTCAGACGGGGGGAGGCACACTACAGTAAAGCATGCAGGAGTCAGGACAAGACATATACAGTAAATACTGACCCAGTCTCTGCAGTCCCTGATTAGGACTTCAGTGCATATCTTAAAGCAGCTCTAGTGTAGTCTATTGTGTTTGGCTTCAACAGGCAGCTGTTTTCAGATATTTCCCTAAGGAGTTGTTGGAGACCTGTATAGAGGTAAACAGAATTATGTAAATGGTCATGGTAAAAAGAGGAAATGAATATTGAAGTTAAATTCATCAGGTGGACAAAAATATGCTAATTTTGCTAAATCTCCAGGATAAGTAAACAAGAAATGTGCCAATGAGTACATGTTGTGTTCCAAGCCCGTTTCTACTGCCACTGTCATTATCATCTTTTTGACTCTTGGCAAATCAACTAACTTGGCTGCAGCATTTCCAGTGAAGAGATGATTCCTGAGCTTTCACCACCAACCCAACTCAATGTTCTGTCAGAGGGCTCCGGACCTGTTGCAGGGCTTTCTGTCTGGATATCATGATCTCACATTAAAAGCTGGTGAAGCATCTTCTGGTGAATTCAAAATGAGGATAGTTTCTTGCTGAATCAATGGTATACCAGACTTTGGGAATACAGGGACTAGTCATGGTGAGGCTCCGCATCGGTGGTTCGGTGGACCATCAAAAAATCCATATGGATTCTACCAGCTCTACATGTCTAGAATCTAAAATTGTCAGGGCAGAGGCACATGGAAGGCTGTTTTGAACATAAATCAATTCAAAATCTTTGGAGACTTGATGTTACCGCCTATAAGAAACCAATATTATTGATTCAAAATACTCTATTGATTTGGAATCCCAAAGGCAGTGCTACCCGTTTTAAGACTGTGAAGGAACTGCTCTACCACCCACTGTAATCCACTGTTACATATGCAAACATGTACTGTTCAGCTAAGGTGATAATGGAAAGCTGGTATGTTTTGTTAGATCAAACTAATCAAACTATCACCATTCCATATTCTTATATCATGGCGATGAAGGTCCAGGGCCTTTCACCGTTGGACACTTCCAGAGACACTCCCATGGGTCGTTTGGGAGGGGAGAGAACTAAGACATATAAAGGTGTTCACAGCTCTTTCTATTGCAGAAAAATTAAGCTAAAGCTTCTTTTACAGGGGCGCTGGCATCTGTAGACTAGTGATCAGGACGTCAAGTCATCGTATTGAGGTCCTGACCATAGACCTGCTGAAATGTGAGTAACCTCAGCTGTTAATCTTGATGTCTTACACCACTCTTATAGCATCAGAGAACTAAATAAAACCAAACGACAGAATCTACTGAACCCACGTCGTTCGCATTATCAAAAATTCATTTCTTTCAACAGGATTTTTCCTCTTACTTAATATCAAACATTTTAGATGTAACATTAATCTTTTTAATGCATCTGCACACTGACCTGAGTATCTGGCATCGCCCTCTTTTGAAATCATAGTTAGCATGGTGCATATTAATATATTCAGTACATTTTTGCCTCCAGGTCAAAATGTACCACAGAGGCCTGGATTCTTGGCTCATTAAACCATTAAAGAGGACAAGTAAAGCAATGGTTGTGTCATGTTAAAGAAATGTTTGTTTAGTTTCTTGTTGAGGTATGGGAAACAATGTGAAGCTGGAAAATGTCAGCAGAGGAATTTACAACACTTTTAATTCCTTGACCGATGTGAACATCACACAGGGAAATGGATTAAGCTTTTCCTCGTGTTCCACTCAGCTTGTTGCTGTTGATGCCTTCAGGCAAGGTCACCGAGCATCCTCAGCTCATCTGTCTGCCTTGAATTTTTAAACATATTCTAAGTCTAGTTTTTTATTGGTGAAACCAAGAAAATTGCTTTTGGTTCTGAAAATGAACTTAAAATCCCACTTCTGGTATTTACAGCTGGCACCCTTTGCAAAGGCAGCATAGCATCCGGCCAACATAGTGAGAAGAAGAAAAGGCAGAAATGCATAACAGTAAAAATCATGATTCGACTCAGATGAATTTATTAATGTAACCTCGTGCCACACAAGAAGCCAAAAGGCTGGTCTAATCTGGACCAGTAATCTAAATCTCAATCAAGATGAATGAAAACTTGTTTATAGTCTTATCAAATTGATGTTGCTTGTGTAACTGTTGCCCCACAGGGTCAACCGGCCAACAGGGAAAACTCCTACTCTCCCAGATGGCCAGACCTGCTGCTGGGGTAATTGCGTTGGCGAGTCATGACTTATCATCTTTCTAATTCATCAATTAAGAAATGTAATCCAGAATAATTGGTAAGGCATATGTATAAGGTGTGTATTAAATTTATGAAAACTGCTGTCCTGAGAAATACTGTGCATGAGTGACAGCCAGTGATAAATTGAGCACATTGTAACTGCTTTAAAGAAACAAATTAACTGCTTTAAAAAAGTAATTAAAACATTAAATGTAGGTCACTTTAGTTTGCTACTTTAACTACAATGCAATGGCAAAACTATCAGGATTTAATTGTGACAAAGACATGAACCTTGGTTAAGACCTTGGTTTTGGACTTTCAAGTGTGAAAAAGCCCTGAAAGAAAACTGAGCAAAAGAAAATATTTTCCAATTACAAAGTAATACAGCTTAGTATAATGCCCAATATCATTGCTGTGCTGAAAGATGTGAACAAAGTGTTCTACAGTTTAATTGGTTTCATAAACTGGTCACTGGAAATGCAAAGGTTCCCATCTTTTAAAAATCAAGGCTAAGACTCTTAACTTAATTGCTGTGACAGGACAGTTTTCTGTCTGGAAGTAAATCTCGCTGAGCTCGTATTAAGTCACCAAAACCCTCAAGTCAGAGGGCTCAGCTGAGAGAAAATAAATCAATGCTCATGCATTCAATGTGTTTTTTAAATTTGTTTATGTTATGATTACGGTTAAGATCCCATTTCCCATCAGTTGTGACTCTTTAGACATCTGTTAAAAATCCATAGGTGATTTATCACATTTAAATACAAGGCTGACAAACTGACTAAATCTCGTGCAGAACACTAGAGTGTAAAATTTATAAGAGAGAGTAGTCCTTTGCCCTTTTTCATGCATGGACGTGTGTGTGTGTGTGTGTGTGAGAATGAACTTGAAGTTCCTTTTGCCACAGTGAGAGCTGCAGGTCCGGTTGCTCAGATCAAAGCATGTGGCAGAGATGATGTTGATTTACTGCAGCCAAATTTCTTATCAGAGGAAATGACTGTGTACCTGAGCTGCAGTAATTTTACAGTTTCCTGAGAGTAATTCAAAGAAATGAAATGTTTAATAATCACAGACCATAACCTGTTATGTTAGACATTGCCAAAATCAGATCATCTCTTCATTAATACCTTCTGTTGTATTTTTCATTCTAAGAAACTGTTTTATTCACAGACTTATATTTAGATTATGTTTATTTTCCCATTGCAAAATTCTCATTGGCTTGTGTAAACCATTTGCACTATTTTTATGCCTGGTCTCCAGAGACGGGAAACTTTCCATGTCTAACTAAATGTCACAAAAGCCTTAAAGAATCTCACCTTCATTTTTTCTGAACAAACTGTGGCCACACTTAATTTGAAGACTGTACTTTGTACTTGGATGCACAGACAAGAGCGGTCTGCACATTGCTGTCAGAGCACTGTCTCTTTGCCTGATGATTTATTATCTCAGAGACATATATTCTCAGCAGTGGATGACCTACCTTTGCAAGCATCACAAGCTTTATGTCGCTAATGTGATTTCCCAAAGCTGTGCTTGCACTATGTGAGACATTTGCCCTGCATTTGCATAGCAGGTACTTCATTTCCCAATTCCCTCTTTTGGTGGTTATAAGCTGTCATTATCTTATTGAACAAGAATCAGTACCAAGTCCAATTTAATGATGTGGTAATAACCTGTCATAACCTGTAATATCTGTCCCATTGCAATATGATAAATATAAATATTCACTTGACTGAATGTGTTGCGCGGCATGATGGAGCAATGGTTAGCACTGTTGCCTTAAAGGTTCCCAGCTCGAATCCCTTGGCTGGGGTCATTCTGTTTAGCATTTCTATGTTATCCCTGTGCCCGCGTGGGATTTCTCCAGGTACTCCAGCTTCCTCCCACAGTCTGAAGACATGCAGTACAATGGCAACCTGTCCTCTCGCCCAGCTGGGGTTGGCTTCAGCTCACCCCCTCTGCAATCCTTGATGGGTAAGCTTTAAAATGAATGGATTGATGGATGAGTGGGCTGAATCATCTTTATGAGACTACTTGGCTCTGATTGCCCTTTTTAGTTTTGGTGAAGTCAGGTACAAAAAAAATGAGTTAGTTGTGTTTGATTTATCTCTTTAGTATCATTCACACAGCAAATAGAAAGCACTTTGGGGAAAGCTGTGGGTGTGACTATGAGTGTGAATGATTATCTCCGTATGTCGGCTCTGTGACTGGCGACCTGTCCAACGTGCACCCAGCCTCTTGTCCAATGTCGGCTTGGATTGACTCCGGCCCCTCTGCGACCCTCAAAGGATACACAGCATAGATAATGGATGGATGTTATGGTTTTCCCTTCTAGCTATATAACCCACTCACAGTTGCTTCGACTGTGCAGTGGACCTTTGAATCCCAAGATACAAGGGAGTTGCCCAAGCATCTGATGATTTGAAGCCTTGGTCAATCATGTGAGCTCATACATTAATACTGTCATGGGATTTCCACTCTAGCTCACATGCCAGTTGTACAGATACTGTATTGACAGAGCAGAAAGACGATTTAATGGAAAACAATACACTCAAAGAATGTCAATCGTTATAAAGCAGCAGTAGACTGTCTGTATCTTTATCAATGCTTAGACACATAAGTGGTGTCTTTAATAATAGGGATAAATAGTGTACATATGTAATAATAGATAAATAATATTGAATTAAAATGAATGTATCAGCAAGATGAAACACTAATCAGTGTAAATAAAAAAAACAGGAAACTTGTCAGGGAAAAAGTGACACGTGACAAAGATGTGCTGGCCAATAATCCAGCCAGGACTCACTCCAAACCTCATATCCACCTCAATACCTATTTCCTATAGAGGCAAATAAATAAATAAATACAGAGCTGGTTTGGAATTTTAATCAGAACAAGACACAACTCTTTAAAAGGGCAAGAAAGCCCACAAGGGCTTATGAGAATGACTAATGCCCTGTTTGTCTATCGGTCATCTGTCCTGCTCCTTCCTGTATCATCGCATCCATGTGTTTATGGGAGACTGATTTACCGCGGATGAGGTTGAAGAGTGGCCACAGACATCGGGGAAACATGAGTCACTCAGCAGCTGACCACTGCAGAGGCTGGAAAGAAGAGAGAGGAGATGTGCACTAGCAGAAAGGGAATAAAGTGACAGAATTAAAGGGAGGAGATTGTAATGACTAATAGAATAATAGGTGGGCTGACAATTAAGCCGATTAAAGGAAGAGAAACATGGTCGAAAGGATACAAGAGAGGAAGAGGAAACAAATGACAGACGAGAGAACGACAGTGGAATTAATGACAAATTAATCCAATGTCAATTTAGGGCCTTTTTATTTACTGACCTGCTTACTTTGCGTGCTACGATGTCGACTGTCTCTCCTTCAATCACATGCATGCACAGACTCCCAGCATTGCAATTGGTGCCGAGATCTCTCCTGCGTTTGCTTTACTCGGCTCACCCTGGTGCTCGAGTCATAGGTTCACTCTGTGGAACATTACTTCAAAAGTTTGAAGACGCACTTATTGGTGCTTATTGCACACTGACGGTTGTAGATGTCTGGACAAAGACTGTGAAAACACATCTACACAATGTGTCATTTCGCAGTGAATAGAGTGAATGACAAACAAACATTACCTCATGTGCTGCAGTGAAGGAGATTTTCAATATGCCAAGTTATTTCTAGGTTCAGTGATCAAACAACATAAGCCTTGCAAAGGTGTATGGTGTTGTCAAAGAGGTTATTGCATTTGCCTTTCCATAAAAACCCATTGCAGCCGGGTATTGCTTTAATAATCACATTTCAGAGGCAAAGATGGAGACGAATGTCATACATACCTTGTTCTATGATAATGTGTTTTTCATACTTTGCAAACTGCTCAGTGTTCTTTTCTGCAGCAGATCTTTATCAAGCTTAATCCTCTCTTGTGCCTCATATTCCTTTGATTTCAAATGTATAGCTCTCTAATCCTAATAACAAGCTATGAATAGAGCAGTACAAAAGGCTCTAAGTGAAAAAGAGACATGGTGGATGGAGGTATGTAGAAATGGGTTTGAAAAACCTCTGTGGAAAACAATTCCTGCTTTTCCCTGAGGTTGTTCCAGGTCACAGCGAAATGACAGTCACATCCATTTTGAAGGAAAGAAATTAAAGATGTTCTTTCGTGAATTTTGTTCTACGGGTGCAGACTGGGTAATTTAATGGCCCACTAACCTCTGCAGAGCATTTCACTTGAATCTGCATATACTAGTTTGGCCAATCAGGTCAGGTCGAACAAGAATTTCCTCCTTGTATAAATGTCTTATCTCCACAGCCTCTAGACTCCAGACAATTAAACTGCCCCAAAAACAAAGCAGATTTACTCCTTTAAAAGCTTTGCAACTCCTCCATCATGAATTAATTACATTGACTGTGTTCATTTCTAAAGATATACTGTTGCCCATGGTTACAAGTGATTAGAAGACTTTCTCAAGAATGTCTTGAGGGAGTTTCTTCAAATTTGGTACAAGGGTTCAGTTTGACTCAAAGATGAAGTGATTCGATTTAGGTGGTCAAAGATCAAGGTCACTGTGGCCTTATAATACACACATTTGGTGTTGAGAACACAAGGTCTCAGGAATAACTTAAGGAACTCTCTTGAAATTTGGTTTAAATGTTCGCTTAGACACAAAGATTAAGGAATTTGTTTTACAATTTAGGTTGTCAAAGGTCAAAGTGACCTCACTATACCCTTTTTAGCTTTTGAATGTTTTATCTAACATTTCGAAGGAATTCCTTCAAAAATTTGGCACAAATGTTCACAGATTAATCGATAAGAGTTGAGTGGTCAAAAGTCAAAGGCCAACATCATGGTGGTCTCTCAAAACATGTTCTGGGCATCTTGTAAATTATATCTCAAGTTTACCTTTGGGTAAATTCTTCTAACTTTGTCCAGTTAGCATTTGGATTCAAAGATGAGTTGATTAGATTTGACTGGTCAAAGGTCAAAAGTCATATGTCCCTCTCGAAATAAAAGTAGACTATAACTGCACTGGTTGGCAGATGCATACAAGCACAGTGTGGTAATTCTAGTTAAGAGGGTAAAAGAGACCTAAAATGTAATTTTCCCATACAGACTGATACAAGCTATGAAAGAGACGCCCAGAATATAAACTGGGGCCAAGTTCGGGAGATTGATGTAAACATGTCAGTTTGACAAATGTGACATGAGGTACAGTGGCACAACAGGTTGAAGTGGATGGAGTGGGCCCAGTGGTTTCAAACCTTTTTTTCTGAAACCTGACATAATGCCAGGACTTCTCCAGGGTAGTCCTGCAGCGCTTTTTCTATCACATCCATCTCACCCCTTGAAAACTCAATCTATAACAATCCCTTAGATCAGGTTTTAGCTTCCATGATAAGATTTTGTTGCTTAAATGAATCATACACGATACTGTGTGGTGTAGCTCTGCCACAAATCACTGCCTCCACCATCTTTGTTATACCTACAGCACTTCAAGTGGCTGCATACTGACAGTTTGTCACCAGGGTACATCTATCCATCATATTATGCTACTGGAAAAGCTTGCAGGAATTTCTTCCAATAGAAACAGTCACTGCCATAATTCTCTTCCTTATTACCATACAAATTGTTTGCACTAGGCTTCCAGCATTCCATCATAATTAGTTTGTCATTTAAAGGTTGGTTCTGTTACTAAATGATTTTGATGATTAGGTCATGAAGTGTCTTATCTCTGTTTATATGTAAATATAGCAAATAAACAAGTTTGGAGAAAATAAGGTTTCATTTCATTTCATGGTCTGTATGTCAGTTTTGTCTGAAACTTCCCATACTTTT